AAGAAGTCTCAAAGGTGGCCAGGGACGACAAGCACCAGGGACTAAAAGTCAGAACCTCCCACCAAGAGGGAGGGAATGGGGGGTGCATATTGATAGATCCGAGCCCCACACCAAGTGCTAAACCTCAGCAGTCCAGATTCCAAGCAACCAGCCTCCTTTCTCAGGGCCAGCACAACACCGATGTCCTCACAAGGCCAAGCCAAGGGTCCTCATCAAAGCCAGCCTGCCAGTTGACAAACCAGCATCCCCACAATGGAAGGCTTCCTCCGCAGTAGGCACCCATCCGAGGGTGCAGGCAAGAGCACAGTTCTTCAAAGGGCTTCAGAACACTCCTCGCCACTCCTCTGGCAATGCAGTAGCCTGGGGACACCAACCCTACCCAGGAAGCTGGGCTCGTCCCTCCAGCTGAGGCAGCAGCAAAACCACAACTTCAAACCAGGAATGACCATGCAAGGGAAGCCGGATCTCGTCTCCCCAACCAAGGCAGGCGGAGAACCACAGGCCCAAAACTGGGCACAACCATACAAGGAAGTCAATGGGGGAAAGGAGAGCACTTACAGTAGCCAAGAAGCTGACTGCAACAGTTGCCAAAAGATTACCAAAAAAGCTGCAAAGAAACTGTAAAAGGAGCTACAGCAAACAAAACAAAAAAACAAACTGCAGTGTGACCACAAAAAACAAAAGCAAAGAATAAACAACCCAAAACAAAGAGCACAACAGACAAGATAAGCAGATTAACGAAAGAGGAGAAAGAAGGGACAACAAAACAAACAAAAAGAACAAAAAACAAACCACACCAGAGGAAAAATGCAAACCTCCGCTAACCGGTCACCATCTTATCTTAGAGCACAACAGACAAGATAAGCAGATTAACGAAAGAGGAGAAAGAAGGGACAACAAAACACCACAACAGAGGAAAAATGCAGACCTCCGCTAACCGGTCACCATCTTATCTTATCATCATTGATATTCTTATTACAGAACAAATGTTCCATCTAGTAAGCCTTAATATGAACCCACTGGTTCTAGATGATATCAATGGGGGTTTTTGTTTGTTTTTTTGCTTTCGCAGGGACAAGATTTTATTTTATGTCATCAATGAAATTGGATGCTAGACATTTTTACTGCATTCTACATTCAGTCAGAGATCAGGCTAAATTTCACTCATAATGCCTGGATACTTAATGGAAACATGCAAAAAGAGGAATTATGTTTTCCTCTAATTTAACTGGGCTGGGATGTAAATCCACCCAAAAGTCACAAGGTAGAAAGGCAGCTTTCTAACTTAGATAGGCAAAATGGAGGTGGTATCCTAGCAACACCGAAGAAACCACATGATAGCTTTGAAAGCAAGTTCTCTCCTTTGATCAGGTTTCATTCCCCATGAATTCTAGAGGGAATGTTGAGGAGGAAATAAAAAATCGCATGCCCAATAGAGTTTACAGCTGATTGACTAATTTTAGTATGAAGAGGCAAAATAAAGCAGGGATATCTTGTATATTTGCTTCTGTTATGGATTACAGAGTACTACCTGGAATAATTTAAAGAGATCTGCACTGTATTAGTGTTTAAATTTTTATTTTGCTCCTCTTCAGGAATTGTTTTTGTTTAGGTGACTAGCTTCTATCTAAATCTGCTGACCACACTTTTTCCCCATTACCCAGATAGTGTGCTCAAATACCCATTTGCAGATTTCCCCGCCTTCTCCCAAATATGCTATCCCTATTGAAGTTATTGGCACCATACTTTTATTTATTAATTTTATAACAGAAATCCAGTAATAGGTTGCAACTACAGTTAGCCCATTGAATCAGTGGGATTTGGCGAGTCAACTTCCTTGTACATTCCATGGATTCAATGGGTGTAACCTAGTGCCAACTTACTTCTTTCAACCATTGTCTACAAGCATTCCTTGGAACCAAAAGGAAGCAAACTGGAGGGGAAACATGGAGAAGGGCAGCACAGTGCTGTTCTCTTCATCAGTACTAAGAGCCAGCACGGTGTGGTGATTAAGGGTTGGATAAGGAGTGCAAAGGCCCAGACTGAAATCCCCAGTTAAATAAAAAAGACATGAAAACTATTTGAGCTCAAGCTATGGAAATGTACCGTATTTTCCGTGTGTAAGACTATACTTTTATCTAAAATCTTTAGACTAAAAATTGAGGCTCGTCTTATACACAGAAGTAAGCGGAAGAGAGAACAAAAACAATTGAAGGGGAAAGCAGGGATCAAAGTGATCCTGCAGCGCTTTGATCCCTTCCCCCCTACACTTGCTAAGCCCCACTTATTTTTCTTAATTTTGGATTAGAAAAGTGGGGGTGTCTTATACATGGGGGTGTCTTATATACAGAAAAACACGGTATTTTAGATACATATAGACTGAAATCTGATTGGTGTGACTTTACACCATGTAAGTAGGATGACATCATCAGCCTGTGATAATATTTTATTTTATTTAATTGAAAGCTTCCTAATACACACACCCTTTCCAGTTGTGAGGCTCCCTAGATGGCCCTTTTCACCTGGAGAAACCTTTGGGAGCTTTAATCTAAAACTCGCCATCAGTGGTTCCACCACCAGGATCAGGAGTGCTGCCGTTCATCTGGCAGCATTTTTTTTCTTATTAAAGACTACTCCCATTCTGAGGCTTCCAAAAGCTTCCTTCCTTAGGCTGAAAGGGAGCCTTGGAACCAGAAGAACAGAATAGAAAGCTTTCAATTCAATTCAATTAATTATGAATATCATGGGTTTATGACATCATCCTACTTGTGTGGTGTAAAGCTAAGTCAATAGGATTTCAGCCAGAGTGTTTTACAACATTTCTTCTTGGGTTCCTTCTGCTGATTGGTTTCTTCTGCTGGGTTTCCCCCTTTGTAACAAAAGTTCTTGTCCGTCATAGATTTATTTATGACTTAAGAGTCCACAGACTTCCTTGGATGCATAACTACTTATCCACACATAGATACTGAGGGAAGTATAAACAGTAGGACCAAATGTCCATGGTAGGCCATGGAAAGCTCCAATGCATATGGTTTAAATGTCTATAAGAAGAAGATTTTAAGTTTCAAATATACGCAGAATTGTTAAAGATCATACCTTTTGCATTTCATGGTGTTTTAGCCACAGACTAGACAGATTTCCTCCTTTGTATAACTAAGGTCTGTTGATTTGATTTTTAGCCGCATGATGGTTTGAAGTTTTTTTAAAAATGTGTGTTTATCTGAAATCACATAATTCATAGTGCATCAGTCTAACTCTTCCGTGCAGCCCACTGAAGAAATATAATTGATTTAGGAAAGCTGGATGTTTAACAGGCCTATTACAGCACAATGGCTGATACTGTATCCACATCAACACTCTTGTCACCTTTCATTTGATTTCACTTTTCAATCCCTCCTTGACCTCAAATAATCTTTCTACATTTCCCATGGGCTGCTTCCTTCTGGGCTGCAGTTTCAGGGCATGGGGTTCTAGTCTTTTTTAATTAATTAAATGCTGATGGTATCCAATCATACCCATTCATGTATCCCAAATCCACCTCTCAAAAGATTTTTGGCAAATGAATGGAAGGTTTTTGAAGGAAGTTGCCAGTTTCTGGGGTCATAGGTAAAGGTTCCCCTTGACAATTTTGTCCAGTTGTGTCCGACTCTAGGTGGTGGTGCTCATCTCCATTTCCAACTCATAGAGCTAGTGTTTGTCCACAGACAATCCTCCGTGGTCACATGGCCAGCGTGACTAGACACGGAACGTTTCAAACCGCTAGGTTGGCGGGAGCTGGGACAAGCAATGGGGGCTCACTCCGTTGAGTGGATTCGATCTTATGTCTGCAGGTCTTCTGACCTTGCAGCACAGAGGCTTCAGCGGTTTAACCCACAGTGCCACCATGTCCCTTTCTGGAGTCATAGTGTAGCCAAATTCCATGAGCTAGGCTTTTTGCATTAGTTAGAAACACAGGTAGAACAAGTCATACTCACTATTGTTGATTTTTAAAAGGAAAAACTGCTGGTATATAGAGGGAAGGATTTGGAAAACCTTGAAAAAGAGACACTGGCATGAGATTCAGTTTCAGGTGACTGAACAAAATGAAGCTCTTTTTTTCAAAAGAACCTATTTTCTTCAGCTACCTTTGAGATCTCTAATACTTTTGTCCTCAGAAGGAATGGCAATTGATAAGAGTCTTGCTTCTTACTCTAGTTGAGTCCAGAAGGCAACTCTGACTAATATGAAAGCTTCTATACTGAATCCCTGAAGTTAGGAACAGGGAGAAACATGTCAATTTACAATTCAGTGTGAGCCAACTAATTCACACCTTCCAAGCCAATATACAAACTGCAGTTCTGTTATCATCCTTGAGTTCCCTGAACTCACGGTTCCATGAATTTTGCAATGTATTGAGGCAAAGGAAAAAAAAGTATTTATGAATGAAAATAACTCTTAAAAATGCAATATGCTAGGCAAAGCTGTTTGCAAAAATGTGTATATTAGGCAAAAATATGTACAAAAATACATATATTTGAAATGTGCATCAGGAATGTGCATGATGTCTTTTGAAAAAAACAAATAAAGGTCAAAAGTAGATGAAAGTGATGTTGCGCCTGCAGAAACTAGAAAATACGGTAACACTGACAGATGTAATTATCCTTATCAAGAGTTCTAGGTCAGAATTATTGCTACTTCTCCCCTTTCCAAATTAGCACATACAAACTTCATCTATCTAAGGTTGGAAAGCAGATGGAATTTAAGATACCCACAATAAATGTATTTCAGTGGGACTTGTCATTATTAAATTTATTTTTCCCGAAAAACAGGCAAATGTTAAGAGATGAAATATAATCAGATTACGCTTATTTAAATGTTGAAAGTCAAGGCAAAAAAAACTCATGCAAACAATGTGGTGGTCTCTGACTTTTATAAGCACTGTGTATTTGCATTCTCTCTACACTCTTTATGTGTTACATATTTAATAACGTGTGCTTTGTATTTCCTATCTTTTTGTACAGGAGCGAATGCCTCTGCACCAGATCAACTGAGTCTAGCATTAGCCTGGAACAGAGTAGACATAGCTCGCAGCCAGATTTTTATTTATGGGCAACAGTGGCCGGTAACGTATCTACATCAATGCTAACATAATATTCAATATAACCTGGGAGAATCATTTTTAAAACACAATGTTTTAAGTGCCTGCCAGATTTCTTAAAGAAAATGTTGCCATCTAGTGGTCCTTTGAAAGTTTAGCTTAACTGTTGAATTTTTGGAAGTGGTAGCCTTGTTAGTCTACGCAAGCTGTCAAACCAAAAGCAGAACAAACCAAAAACAAAAGAATAAGAGACAAAACATAGTGGCACCTTAAGGACTAGCTGTTATATTTTCATGTGAGGTCTAAAGAAGTGAACTTGATCCACAAAAGCTCACATTAAAATACAGCCATTAGTCTTTAAGGTGCCATAATGTTTTATCTTGTTTGTTTGTTTCCTTATATCCTAACATGTGTGTCATCCTGTGTTGGCAAATAACCTACCACTGACGGAAAATGCGAACTTGTTTATTTTATTTTCCAAACTTATTTGTTTTATCTTCTGGGTTTTAAGCCCAGCTGGAACGTGGGAAAGTAGGCTGGATCATTAATATTTGGAAGGGATTAATACTAAAAATGGAGGTAGCATAAGGAAGGAGAAGGGAAGAGATTTCAATATAGAGTCAGAGGCAAGGAGACTGAAGGGAATCAACAGAGAAAGAGGAACTCAAGGGCAGATTGGTGATTCGAGAAAAAGGGTGAGGAGGAACTGAAGGAAGGAAGGAATTGGGTCTTTTTAGTTTAAACAATGACGAAGGCTGGAGGATTGTATAATCATGTGCAGGGTGGTGAAAATGGGTTTTTTAAATTCTCTCTCTCATCATATAGCAATACAAATTTGTGCTACTCACTGAAATTCTTCATTTATAAATTCAGAGCAGATTAAAAAAATACTCCTTCACAAAATGCACCAGTTCACATCCAGAATTCACTGCCACAAGATGTAAATTAGCTAGCTAAGATAGCTTTGAAACACTATAAAACAAACTTCAGGAATATAAATCCATCAACCATGGTAGCTGAGTGGAAATTCCAAGCTGGAGTACAGAAACGAAATATTTTTGTTTCATTACTTCATGTATATCTGTCACATATCTTATTGCAATTTTTAAAAAATAATTTTGCTTTACGTTTCATTCTTTTTTTAAAAGATTAATCAATCACTCATTTCACTTCATTTCATTTCAATTTTTTCTGTTTTTGTTTTTTGTTTGTTTGTGTTGTTTTGGGTTTTATTACAGCCTAAATTTTCATGAATTTCACGGTGGTTTTGGGTTTGGTTTTTTTTTTTTTTTGACACAGCTTGCAGCTTGGACAGAAACAGAGCCAATTGCATTAACTACCTATAAGATCCACCATTTTATCAGAATGTCCTAGTAATATACTGAAATCATTACATAGCCATGAAATGCAAAGCTGGAAGCTATGCTGAGTATTTCAGAAGAAATGTGAAACAGTTACATATATCTTCTGTACTAAAGCTAGATTACCATCCAGGTGCCTCCATGCATCTGACCATAAGGACCATCTGACCATCTATTTCCCTTGTAGGTGGGGTCCCTGGAACAAGCAATGTTGGATGCTTTGGTATTGGACAGAGTGGATTTTGTGAAATTGCTCATAGAGAATGGAGTAAGCATGCATCGTTTTCTCACCATCTCCAGACTAGAGGAATTGTACAATACGGTAGGGCCAAGCTAAAACAAATTTTCTATTTCTTTGTTTCATCTTCCTTCAGGCATTAGAATGGTGCACAAAAATCCATCCAACAACCTTTTTATCAATGAGTAAATGGTTGCCTTGTAAGAAAAGCTCACTGTGATTTACCTACTTAATTTTAAGAACAGCCATCAAGAAAATATCAAAATCTCCTTTTCTGAAAAGGCAAACCCCAAGGCCTTTCAAGGGCACCGTTTTTTAAAAAAATCTGTTTAAAAACATTTCCTCCAAAACTGCTTTTGTAATCTCTGCTTCAAATATGTCACTCTGGATTGTCAAATCTTAAAGCAGTAAGTTTGAAAGCTACAGGCTTCTTCTCAGCTGCAACACTTCTCACATAACACCTGCTCCTTTTGTCAGAACTTTGCATTTTCTAGGGGAAATGTAAAGAGGCATTTTTCAAAAGTGTAACTTTGAAGCAAAAAAAAAAAAAAACCCAGCCAGGCCTGAATCCAGTTAATAATCCCAACTACAGTAAACTCCGCTGAATCAATAGAATCTACTTTAATGTCAACTTTTTGTTCAACTGTTGATTCTGTGAGTAGGTATATGCTAGTTAGGGCCAGCAGCTGGATATAGGCTGAACAGGCACTTTTCTGGTATTTTTAAGACTAACTTATTTATTACAGCCTAAATTTTCATGAATTTCACCCTGCTTCCTCAGATGCATGGAGTATAATCTTAGAGCTTCGGACACAGTGCACATAGTTGGAGCAGGATCATAATGAAATTACACCCAGGAATTAACAATTATATTATTAACACTGGTCCTAATTGGGGATGGTATACTGCAAATATCTTAGCGATAAATAAGGCAGTTAACACAGATGATAAGTGTCTCTTAAAAGATCCATCCAGTTGTTTTACAATATTTCAGTATTGGAAGATACTGCGTCTAAAGATACAAAAGCAAGAACAATTCAACAGAAGTAGCATTTCCTCTCCAGATGAGAAAGGCAGTGTATTTCTACTTTTTTAAAGGGAAAGGGGAACAGTGATAGTCTTAAGCCTGTCCCAGGCTTCATGTGGTGGTACAGGCTTCATGCAGTGGCCCGAGGTGCTCCACCACACAGCTGATGTGAGGTGCCACACAGGTAGTCTGCATAGAGATCAGTATTTACAGCTGCTTCGTTCATATGATCTACATGCAAACACACATACAGCATTTAAAATAGATAAAACTAGGCAACATGACTGTATGTAGAGCCTCTATGTGAAGTATCTGGAACATACTATATGCTACTTAAATTTCATAGCAGGAAGAAGGATTGACATTATAGTTCCACCAGAGCACAAAGGCTGTGGCTACTGTTCAAACCATTTCAACTTACTGCTACCAGTTGCAATTAGAGATAGGTTGAGAGGTTTGTTCCAGTTCATCAGACTGGCACCACAGGTGCTGTGCATTTTCTTCTCTTACCCACCCCCAGCAAATCTCCTGCTCACCAGCCAGTACATACTGCTCTTCTCCTTCTCTTTGGGTATTTGACCAGTCCCAGCAGGAGCACATGCTTCCCTCCTCCATTTCCTCCGGCACCCACCCATCCCTGCCCCACCTCCTCATCTGAGTGGGTGGTTGCTGGAGGAGGCAGAGAAGAGAAGCATGTGTTTCTGCTGGAACTGGTTGAATGCCCAAAGAGAAGAGCATCACATGCTAGCTGGTGAAGAGGGGATTTGACGGGGGTGGGGTGGGGGAAGGGAACGTGTGACACTTGTGGTGCCGGTCCAACAGGCCAGCATGAACCTCAAAACCAAGTTCATGTCCATCTCTAGCTGCAATACTTGTTATCATAAAATTAGTCCATTTCTACAGCCTGGTTGTAGTGTCACCACAGGCTGCTAAAGAGTGCCTCCTCCCTTTGGCCCGTATTCCTTCAGAGCCTAGACTCTGAAAGTGGGTCTCAGGATAGGATTCATTCTAACGTATTTAATACAGAAGAAAGGTGGTGTCATGGAATGGTGGGGGAAAAGGACTTTCTCGCACTCTGTAACAGAAAGCTTAATAGATCCAAAGAGTTTTTGGAAAATATTGGTAAAATATAATTGTCGTGCTGTGGATGATTTGTATTGTAGCTTTGTTCCTTTTTTAAAAAAAAAAATCTGTCTGAGGAATCGCACAGAAGTAGTTGAGTGCTTTGATATATCTGTATTTTGTTTCAAAGTCTTTCCTCCAGAGAGACTGAAGCTATTTGATTTTCTCTTGTTGTTCATTTTCAGAGACATGGACCATCCAACACTTTGTATCATCTTGTCAGAGATGTCAAAAAGGTAAGAGTCCGAGAGATGGACAGTAGCTTGAAGGTAATGCTGTGACAGCTTCTTGTCATTAGAGACAGCTCCTGTTTTGCATGAGCTTTCAGTGAGAACCTTCTCCTGCCTTTGCCCATTTCAGCTGTGTACTGTGTGTTCATGCCAGTTCTCAACCTTCTGTGCACAATGCAGTTAACTAATTTCTTCTGGGCTGCTGTCTCAGTGATTTTAGATGCTTTGGGTATAGTGCTTTCGCGAGCAGAACTGTAGGTGTCTTTATGCTATGTGGATTTGTGCTCTTAGTTGTATCTTTTAACATTCACCACTCTTTTGAATGCTGATTTCCATACCTCTGGACCAATGCTGGACACTGTAGATGATTTAATGGTTGGTTGTGATTAGTTTTAAATCATGGCGAAAGTTTCATTTTCATTATATGCTATATGCTATACAATCCATCTTCATGTGAAAATAAAAGAGTAGGGCAATTTAATTAAGAATGCGCTTTAATGTTAACCTAGTGTCAAAACTCAAAAGTTAACATTAACTATCTGAAAAATAATTAAATTAATAAGTAGAAAGGAAATTCTCTTTTCAGAACTCATTAAGAAAATTAAAAACTTTGTCTTGGCCCGCCCCACTCTCTCCCCTACATCCTTCTCACTGTTCTGGACACCTCATGTCTCCTATGTTGGGTGACTTTTCTAATTGAGTAGCCTCGCTACATGATTTTGAACCCTGGCTACTCAAGTAGAAAGGCATTCCCAGCCCAGAGGTTCATCATCCAAATGTATGGGACACTGCAGAGATGGTAACTGGATTGAGTGGGACAGACTAATAATTTCATCCATCACTGGTTTCTTCCTCACCCCAGTGGGGAAAGCTGAAGGGGATTAATGGATCAAGGTGGGAGAAGGCAGCTGGTCCTGTTTTCTTTTCCCTAGGGAAGTTACAAAATGTCAGGCAGTAATGTTGATAGTATACCTTGGTGGAAGAGCAATGAAGTCCAAAAAAGAATTGTCAAAGCAGCAGTGATATCTAGTGCCTTATTGCTTTCCTAAGCACCCGACCTCTCTTCTGCATATCATCACTGAGGACATGAAAAAAGAGTTAGACCTGCAACCTTGTCCATTAATGACACTTGTTTTCAACATCAAGCCATTTCCAAAAACATTACATACAGATGTGTATAGAGTGGTCCTGAGCTGACTAGATAGGCGGGATATTAAATAAA